CAGACGCTGGGCGCGCCGCTGCGGACCGGGCGGGTGGCCGACCCTGCCGGCCCGCGGGAGCCCCGAGCGGCCGAGGTTGCGGCTCCGCAGTGCCGTCCTTGCGCCCACCTGCCCCAGAGCGCCGACCCTGGAGAGCCCCCGCGGTGGTCCGGGGACCGTTGGAGCACAGCCTTCCCTTGGGGGTCCTGGCTTAGGGCGGAGGGGCGGCCGAAGGCTCCTCCCGGCTTTCCCGCATGCAGCGCCGCGTGCTCGCCGCTCGGACTCTGGCTCAGGTCGAGCGACTAGCCCCAAGACGCGCCCAGGCGACCTATTGCATGGCACCCAGCTCTTCTTAATAGGAGTGTCTGAGGGCCTTCGCTTCCGAAGTGGAAGTACCTGTTGTGTCTTTCCCAATCCAAGAGTTTGCGGGGGTCTCCTCCGGAAAGCGTTCGCTTTCGAACGCTTGGTGTTCGTGCATCACCAGCTCCTACTTGGCGTTATGCGCATACTGAGAAATATGCGCCTCCACTAAGGTTAGCGGCTGAGCCAGGAACGCGCCTGCCTGGATTTCAATTGCATTAACTAGGGCGCAGCACAGAACTGAGAGACTTCCCCAAATGCAGTGATTATTAAGTTATGTACTCACGAGGCAGAATGCCGAGAAAGTGGAAACTGTCTTATAGGCAGGTATATTACCGTGATACTGTGGAAGACTTATTTCTTAAATGTGCCTTTTCCCCCCTCTGTCCACGTACTTTCTTTCAGCACCTTGCAGAAGAAGGAGTAGCTTGCTGGCTTTGAACGCTTGGCAGATATTTCAGAAAGGTAAAATTATTCCACTTGTGGATTTTACAGATACAAAATACAGTTGCTCGGAAACTTCAAGCATTTATTTTAATAATTGCACTAATGGGTCATCTGATGACATGCTAAATAGTAAAACAGAGTATTTGAGACATGGAAAAAATAAATCAGAATGACTCTCACTCGGAGTAAAAGTGAAAATTAAGCCATACTATAACTTATGTTTAATCACAATTTACTGCCCAGTGAAGGTGGTAGAAAACACCTGGTGTGTTGGGATAGCCAGGTTCCCTTTCTATGAAAATTGTTGTGTGGCAGCGGTATGATTTGATTCCAGGAACTGTGGCACAAAACCATTCATATTCTTACGCTTTTCCCATTTGTGTGCTTTTCAGCTTCAAGATCAAGCTGCAAAAAAGGAACAGTTATTCTTCCAAATTTATCTGCTTCAACTATTATTCTTATTGGGAATGGACAATGGAATGTTCTCTAGCTTTATCATGATCAAAAACCTCCTTCTCTTTTTTATTTCTATGAACTTCTCCAGTCACTTTGGGTAAGTTATCATTTGTGCTTTTATTTTACTATTTTAGGGGCATTGGTGCCTTTCAGAAACCTTGTAGAGCAGAACATCAATTCAGGAAGCCCTCTGTCACAGCCTTTGAGCCCCATGCCCTTCAGTTTGTTGTAAATAGAGTCCTTGACCTGACCCACGCTTTCTTCCTGAGCAAGGCTGCTCCTCCTGTGGGGTCTCTGAAGTGAGTCAGAGAAAAGAGGCAGATTACGTTTTCAGAAGTGGAGGCCGAAGATGGTTATAGAGTCAGAGTCTGTGTTTCCTCCTGCTCAGGTTAAAACATGATTCAGAAGTTCACGTGCATAAAGGACGTTCACTGCTTGTTAGCCAAGGCAGTGTGCAACATCTGGATTGCCCTCCTTGGTTCCATTATGCAACTGAATTTGCCTTTAAAGCCAGGCCCATGCCACGTGGCACTGAAAAGGGCTTGTAGTGGTCCTGGCCTAAGCCAAGGGTCTGGAACTGTGGCCATCTGAACACAGGTGCAGAGACCATAAACTGCAAGTGTCTGAAGATCTGAAAGACACCCCTCAGGTTCTGGCTTTGTCATTTCCATTAACCTCATTCATTTTGGCTTTTAGTTTCCATGTACCAATTCTGACCTTTTTTCATCAAACTAGTGACAAGTAACACTTCAGATTAATGTTCTTATGAGTCTGACGTTCCTTCTGCCCTCACCCTCATCCCTACCCCCACCACCGCAGAATTGTTCTGGCTAATCAAAAGGATTGTAGCTTGAAGTTGGTGGAGTGTAATTAACATTTTAGATTTCAGGACAAAAGTTGCCAAGGATTTCTTCTGTAAACATACGGTCTTTAAAAAGTCCATGGAAAGATCTGTATTATCTTTTAATTCTATTTTTCCGTGAACTTTTTGAAGTACTCTCACATTTAGTAATATTTTGGAGGTGAGGAATATGCTAGGATTGGGAACATATATTTCCTTTATAACATTTTGGTCAAAATATATTGCTGTGAATTTGCATTGAAAAGACATGAATTGCTTCCCAAGCGGCGCACTATCCAGTGCGCCACTGGGCCGGCCCTGTATTATCTTTTAATTCTATTTTTCCATGAACTTTTTGAAGTACTCTCACATTTAGTAATATTTTGGAGGTGAGGAATATGCTAGGATTGGGAACATATATTTCCTTTATAACATTTTGGTCAAAATATATTGCTGTGAATTTGCATTGAAAAGACATGAATTATACTCCCCAGTAGCTGCAAGTCTGAAATAGGAAATAATGTGCATAAGGAGTTTAGCCATGAGATACATTTGTGCTTTATTTCTTATTTAATTCTGTAGCTTTCTGAGGTCATCATCGAACAGAGAAGTAAATATTAGTTTCTGGAACTTAACACTGAGTAAATGGTAGAAATTTTTAATCTTTTAGATATAAGGTCGATAGTCCATTATAAAACAATACCTGCTAACTGCATAAAATATGTGAGAGACAGAAAAGTACATTAAAAGGAGAATATCCTTAATGCCAGCACACAGAGACAGTCGTCCTGCACATCGTGGAGTCCTTACTTTCTACTGCTTCTGTGCATGTTTTTATAAAGTTAGGATCATACTGTGCATTTAGTTTTGGACCGTGTTTTTTTTTTATATTTTATTTTGTCAATATACAACGTGGTTGATTATTATGGCCCATTACTGAAACCTCCCTCCCTCCTCCCTCTCCCCCCTGCCTCCCAACAATGTCCTTTCTGTTCGCTTGTCATATCAACTTCAAGGAATTGTAATTGTTGTGTCTTCTCCCCCCACCCGGTTTTTTTGTGTATTTATTTATTTTTAGCTCCCACAAATAAGTGAGAAAATGTGATATCTCTCTTTCTGTGCCTGACTTGTTTCACTTAATATAAGTCTCTCTAGGTCCATCCATGTCATGTTTTTGTCGTACCTAATACTCTGTTAGTACAGATTCTTTAAAATGTGTCATTTAAAAAAATGGGTGGCTATTCCAATGACTGTGCATTAGCTGTTTTCCTAATATGGAGTGTTTACCTTTGTAAAACTAGGGCTAGGTCTCACAGACCCCTCGAGCCCGTTGTCCAGACTGGGTCACAATCCCTTCACACGCAGGTCTACAAGCTAGGTAATAGGCAAATGTCCTTGGAGCTGTGGGTGAAGAAGTAGCAGGTGTTATTCAGAGCTAGGAGCAGCTGCCCTACTGGCTTCTTGGAGCGTTCTGAGAAGCTCCGTGTGTCAGAGCCATTCCTCCTTTATACTTAGGTCCATACCCAAGACACCCATACACAATTACATTAGGTAGTAACCAAGGAACACCTGAGGATTTTTACAGTAAATGCTTGGCAAGATTCTGAACATCTGAGGGGCCCTGAAAATTTTCCTATATTTTCCCAACAACATTGTTTCTGATTTTGCTGTTAAAGATTTTCCTGTAATGAACATATTTGGCTTGTAACTTTTTTAAGTATTTGAGATTATTTCTATGAGAAGGCATTCCTATAAGTGGAATTTTACATCAGGTTCTTTGAGTGATTTTAACTCTTGACCCTGAGTTAAAACATTGCTTATGATGAAATGGGGTTTCTGGCAAAGTGGGATGCCATGTTTCACACACTCTGGCCAGAAGGGCATGTTTTTCCACAGCCACAAAAAGACATCATTGAAGACATCAAGCCCCTCTTTATTTCTTTTCTTATGTGAGGCTCCTCTCACTTGCACATTATCTAAATGTACTTAAGAATAATTTTGTCAAGTCCCTAAGAAAGTTTGATAACATTTTTTTTTTCCTTTTTTTGTCTTTTTTCGTGTCCGGCAACGGGATCGCAACCCTCGGTGTCGCGCCCGCACCTTGCTCAGCCAGTGAGCGGGAACCAGTCTGTATGTGGGATCCGAACCCTTGGCGGGAGCGCCGCCACACTCCCAAGTGGCGCACTATAGCAGTGTGCCACCGGGCGGGCCCCAGAAAGTTTGATAACATTTGACTTTAAATCTTGACAAAATACTAGCTGTCGTGATGCAGAACACCTGTTTTTATGTGGTATGTTTCAGGTGCTTCCCAGGAGCAACCTAAGGGCTCAGCATCATCCACCTGGCTCCTCCACTGGGGAGGCGGGTGGATAGGCTGCTCACCTGGGAAGTCCACAAAGCTAGTGGCCGCCTGGACTCACTGCTCGGCAGGCCTCCTACATGGTTTGTTTGCATGGCAGCTCCAGGTCAAGCCCATCGAGAGAGGAGTGAGGTGTCATTCTGAAAGGCATTCTCTGCTGCACAGTAGAGGGAGTTTTCTGCACTCTCACATTAGGGGAGAAAAAAAGTTTGGGTAAACTGTTTTCTCCCCCCAAAGTTTATGTGATCTGGTTGAAGAGAAATGTGAAAGGGAAAGCACCAAGGGCCCTAATTTGAACTTAGCTCCAGGACAGGACAAGTGCTGACTCCTGCCGATGCTCCCAGGAGGCTGGAGGCTGGCAGGTGGAGGGAGGCCTGTAGGAAACTAGGCAGGGGAAGAGGGAACGAGGTTTCATGAATGTGTGAAGTCAACGTGCAGTGTTTGTGGAGAGTGTGTGCATCTGACTGTCAGAAAATTTGTGAGTGTGATGAGTGAAATATATTTGAGTATTATTCCTTCTCCTTCTCCTGATCATATGCTAAATTTGACCAGAGTCACCAGCTGCTTATTTTCAATAGCCTTTATAATTATTCTATTAGTTTTAAGTGATAGAACAGAGCACGCGTCAAGTGTACAGCAGAACGTAGAGGTTTTAGCTGACAGCCAGCCTTGTGCCATGGCATATTTGGAGACCCTGAATTGTTTGAAGCCTTATAACACATGGTATAGAAAAACTAGCAGAGAAACAATACTGGAATCAATGTAATGTCAAAATACATAAAATTAAATTTAATGTGAATTTTATATTAAACTTAAACTGGAATTAATTTAGCATCATTTGAAAAATCATACTTATCAGTATTGATAGATAGTGGTGTTGCAAGGTAGATTTGAGGATTATCATCTCAATAATAAGGTAAAGTACAATTCCATTCATTTCAATATATTTACCATATTTTAGAGGTTTATTGATTGAAAAAGTTTTATTTTTTAGGATTTTATTATGTGGGAGCTGCAAATCAAATAGACTTTGGAAAACACTATTTTAAAATCAGCAATTAAAAGCAGTTCTCGCAGCAGTAGCTTATGAGCATGAGCAGCCCAGGTCAGTCTTTATCTGTGTGCACCAGTGTGCCAGTCTGGACCTTTGGTTCCTCAAAGAGGGCTTCTCAGACATGCAGTCAAGGACAGTTCCCTTCTCTTAACTAGAGCAGATAGTACATTCTCTCTGAATCATGCAGATACTCACAAAGTCTTTTTAAATGGAAGGTTCTCTCTTGTGAATCCCAGATAACAAATTCTTCCTGCATTGTAGCTGCAGGTTCATGAGGTCCAGGACAAACAGTCATTGTAACAATTACAAAAACACTCAGAGAGCTGCTGAAGCACTTAGCGGGAACAGGAGCTGTGGCGCATCTAATCCAGGCTTCAGGGACTGTCAGAGATCAGAAAAGCAGTTCTTGCATATTGCAAAAAATGCAGGTGACTAAATCAGGGCTACAGGGTAATGTCCAACATTTTTTTTTAAAAGATACCCAATGAAAATGCTTCCAAATCATATGCTTTATAGAAGAAGATTGGCATGTTGATCATGCCAACAGGCAGCATGCACAGCTCAGGGCAGGCAGCGTGCATGGCTCTGCTACCACTGGCTGGCAGCTGGCTCCAGGATGAGTCACTGGCTCTGCTCACAGGGAGAAGGAGAATGTGGGCTTTCAGATTTTTACAAAGGTTCAATTGCATAAGGTGCATATTTTAATTGATGTGAAATTCCAGAGGAAAGTATTAGACTCGAAAGTAAAAAGAAATCTCGTCTTAGAACTCTGGTAGTAGAAACAATAATTATCAGCGTTATATGGGTATATCTCCTTAATCTCCAGAATGCATTTTCAAAAGA